TTCATATTAAGGGAGACCGGCTGCATTATTGTAATGGCAAGTACATTGTTTAAGCTGACAGCCGATAACAATAACAACGTCCAATGGCTACCATAGCGATCAAAAATCCACTTCACAAGTTTCGGTGTTACTAATACGGCCAAGGCTGGAAAAAGAAAATTTCTTTTTACATTGATTTTTTTATAATTATAATAGTACAAAGATGTGTACTACATTCTCCCGTACCATGAGTGTTTATAAGTGTGACAAGCAAGGAAACGAGGAAATACCCACTGGAACGTACAACGGTGTTGGAAGATGACATTCTAGTGGGCATAGTCTCATACATTTCCTTTTCTAATACATTTTTGTCTAAAACAATTGCAGAATACGCAAGACGTTAGATACTTTGGCTTAGCAGACGAATATTTAAGATTTTTATTTTGATCAGACATCTTGTCTTAAAACTTCGTTACGCCAGCGCGCCATGTTGTTTTTTCGCTTCGATTTGATTCGTGTATTAGATTATATATAATTGCGTAACATGAGTTTTATTTATGGTTTTGTAACAATCATCATACCTGGTACTGTTTGAACTATGCTCATAGCATATAATCTTTTTTTTCGAAAATATTGATTAATAATAGTAAAACATAGGTTTATCATCAATCCATGACCGATATTCTGAAAAGATATTTAGAATGTAACTATGTACCTACATTTTATTAGGTTTAATACATTTCCGTAAAGAATACAAGATTAATGTTTTATATAGTTTAAGTTATACGAATTAATAAGTCATGTACACATACAGCCATACAAGAGTAGTGATTTAACTTACCTACCGAACAACCCAGTGGACCTGAGTTCGAATTCCTACAAACTTATAATAATAAGTTTATAAAAATACTAATCGAGTCGTTACGATTAATAGTATTACCAAAATGAATTTTTGTTAAATACCTGTAAAATTCCTTGGGATATAAAGAACAATCCTTCTGTGTTACACAGAGTGCTTGCAAATGAGCCAGTGCTGTAAAATAACGCTGCTATCAAGCCAAGCGTTCTTATTGAAGTATATTTGAGGAGAAAACCAGTAGAAAATCCTAAATATAAAAGAAAAAATATTAAAAAATAATCTCCAATTAATTTTAATTAACACCTAGTAGAAACCATTTAAATATTGTGTGTTGGGAATTTTCAAAAATATATTTTTTAAAGTTTTATTTCACATGAGATTTCTCAACCGAAAATTGATCAAACAAAATTGCATTTGTTTAATTTTCTTTTTTTGCGACTGAGGCGCAAACTAGCTGTTGTGGTCTCTGGCAGAATGACCAGCGCTGTTGATCAGTCTGCTCCTCAGCATAATGCTGAGCCAGGGCCAGATACAACCACAACACACACACATTACATACTTAAAATGAACCTTATTCTTTAAAAAAAATGTTATTTTTCATTTTTTTTGTATTATTATTTTGTGTATTTCGTTAGTAATATATGATATGTCTATGTCTACATGTAAAAGTCATAAATAAAACAGTTAAAGAAAACCGAGTTCACGACCCATAATTGTAACGCTTCTTGATTTTCATTATGGCTTACAATGTTAGCTACATAACATGACCCTCTGATCGCAAATGCGGTATTAGGTTTATCGCAGATCATGTTTTTAAAACATTAGCTAGAAAATTTAAATATAAGAGCGGAAATATTAATCGTAATTTATACGCATAGTATTATATAGAGATCAATATTAATTGATGGCCAATTTAAAAGCTTTTTCGTGTCAAATGATGGGAGAGCTAGAGATTGAATCATAATGCCATAATTTTCAGCTACTTTAGGATATAAAATTAATTTAGACCACATAGTTTGGTGGGAAATTTTGTATATTGCACATGAACATTTAAAAATAATAAATATGTATGTCTAAATTTAAGTAGGTATGTGCAAAGAAAAATAAAGATGACATATCACCGACCGCTTAACGTGCTCACTTGAGGCATGGCCAATTTCTAAACTATTGACATCCTTTCTTCTCGGAGCACCATTCCTCCAGATAACAAAATACATACTTCACAATTATAACAGAGACCAAAAAATATAGCTCAATATTAATTATTGTGTAACACACACACACAATTTTATATCAACACAGTAAAGTCTGAATACAAAATGTTATTTTACCTTATTTACTTTTTTATTACGTTACCTGAAACTGAAATACACAGAGTACCGAGGCAATTTAGAACGGAAACGCTTGTTGTACTCATATCAAGTTCCAAGAATCTCTCTTTGAAAATGGCACCATGAGAGTTCGTAAAACCCCTTAAAACGACCTGGAAAATTCGAAAGAATAAACTTAAACAATGTTTTATTTGTGGTTTCATTGTATGCTGTATTTAACCTTTGTGAAATGTTTAAAATATTTCGACTGGAAGAGTCATTTCCGACGCATAAACATTTTCAATTAGAGCTTGTTAATATTTTCAACACCTGTACTAAAAATGGTAGTATATTAATCATACAGATTAGTAGCAATGCATTACTACCATAAAGTTATATTGTCTTTGTTACGATAAAAACGCGATTTCTTCTGTTATTACAAAACTCGATATTTCGAGTGCTTTTCAGGAATTGTGGTCAGCGAGAGACTACGCGTCACGTTACCGGATAACAGTTTGGACCAAGGACAATTACTCTTAATAATAATGATTTCTAATTTCTAACGAAAATTTATTTAATTCTATTAACGCATTATATTTCCGCGAAATTGGTATTTCCTCCTCTGGATTTTTACAATATTTACTTATTGTTTTCTAATCTAGAGTAGCCATTATACAGTACTTTTTATCATTTAAAGAGCAGTGTGGTCCTAGGAGCTTACGCGTGCGACTCATCACTGTGATCGTGCGTTCTATTACGGCTATGCACCAATGGAATTTTCTCTATATGTGCGCAATTAGCACGTGCTCCTACGATGAAGAAATACATCGTCAGGAAACAGGTATGTCTCAAGCGTACAGAAGGCTCTGTCTGACACGTCTTTAAAATAAAAACTACGATCATTTTTATTTTAAAGACGAGTCAGTCAATGCAATCTCAGACCAAAACCCATATAGGGCTGTAGCGCCACTGGTTTATTAATTATCTTTTGAGTAAAATGTGATTACCTTGTACTTTGAGTGTAGGAATAATATCTGCTGCTTTTTGCAAACGAACGCTGCTGTCGTCTTGGACCTCAACTACATTTACCGTATCGTGAGAAAACTATTTGTTTTATTTTTAATATTTATATACCAGTATATAGGTATATAGATTCGTAATCCCATTAGTGTCCATATAATACAATCCATCAATCAATTTATTTTACTCAAAATAATATTAAAATAAAATTAGAGATAGGCCTTCACGAGTCTTCTTTTTCTAAATAGCTATAGATCTTAACGTTTGCAACATAAAATAACTTACCAAATTAATGATGACGCCCACACAAATCATATATCCCCACCCTCCGTCGGGGGGTACCAATTTATATTTTTTATTTATTCCCTCTGTAGCACACATTGTCATTGAACAATCCACAGTAAATGATGTCAGATGATGTCTAGTTTTATCTCGTGTCAATAATATGTTTAATATAAGATAATTACATGAGATTATTGTAGTCTCTTTGTATTTCGTTTCATTTTACATTTAGGAATTATAAAACCTAATAAGAATTATATACTGCTTTTTATAGTAGCTATATTTGTTGTGTAGAGGGCGAGAACAGCATGCGAGCAAGTATAAAACAATGACAAGTAAGTATGACAATTTAGGACATAAGATTTCCCGTTATGAAACTGAACTGAAAATTCAGCGATGAGCGAATAAGATTTCACTAATACGCGCGCCAAATTATATTTATCTATGTAATATTCATAGTGTGCCTATCTCACTGGAAGTAATTCTGACGATTTCCTTGTGCATGCCTACATATTAATTATATTTTACATGATCGTACCACTACCTCAAAGGCTGGCAAAGCAACTGCACGCCTCCCAGTGATGCAGGTGTCCATGGACGCTGGTAGGCATCTTAGCTCTAAGTACTCAATTTTTTTTTCAAAATTCTATAAATGTATATTGTATTTGTAAACTTATGAAATTCTAACAAGTAAAGTCAAGTAACTATGTTGTGTACGAGTAAGTTAATAAAAAAGTGAGGGTTAACAGTAATATCGGGCCATGAACCCGGGGTTATACGCATACTTGCCAAATTGAAACCTATATATGCTTAAGGATTCACTTCTCTGCATGGCTAGTTAGTAGTAGAAGTATTAGTGGTGGAGATATCCTGATGAGCTCAGTCAAAATAACAGCTTAAGAATCTACTTATAAATGTATAGTAGTAATACGGTTCCAAAAAAGAATAACTCGATGAATTTTTCCTACAAAAAATATATTGACTTAAAAAACTATGACAATATATCACATTATGAGTCTACTATTTTATAATATTTGATTGATAATGTAAAAAAAAACAGTACGTGTAGTAAAATACTTTACGTATAGCTATAATAAACTTACGTTTGGAAATAGCGTAAGCGATAGTAACGAAAGCGAACACATCATCCGTAGAACGTTCTATACGAGTTGTATTAAAAGTTTACTGTTACTGAGTAATTACTAACTATTGATACACATACATGATATTATTGTAAATTACGCCAAGTTTGTTAGCGATTCTTATTTCCTATTGACCAAGAAGTTTCACGGTGACGCTTTAATTCTGTGACGACATCATAGTGCATTATACATTTAAAAAAAACTATTTAAAACGTCTACCTTCATTAATTCTAAATATTCCTGTTCTGTTTCATTTACTTCTATTGAATTTTAACTGTAACTAATTAATGTCAATCTTTCTACAAGAGAAATATTTCAAAGCATTGCAATTAATTGAAATACTCGTAAGTAATAAAAATATCTTTGGTTACATTCATTAATTAACTAAGAATAATGTTGTTATTTATTTTAATGTAAACTTTTCCGTTTCTTAACACATATATTCTTCAATATCCATAAAACACCTACAGCGCCCATGATTGCTGTCATCAAGTAAAATGTTATTATGTAGCTATCTGTGTAATCTCTGATAGCACCTGTAAAAAAGTGTTATACCATATAAATGTGCTAATAAAGCAGCTTAGTATACTCGTATAGTCGTATTGAAGCAGACATAGACAGTCGTATGCTTGCAAAACGGACTAAATTAGGTATTAGCGATATCTAGCGATAGGTCGCAATTTTACCATTCAATTTGTTCATAGGTTATTGTAAACATTAATACGTTCTTATTCCAGAAAGCATCATGATTATAATAATAATATAATAATAATAATAATAATATAATAATAATAATATTAATACTGACGTTTCTCTTAAATGCTGTCAAAATTTCAAACTACATAGATAAAATACTTGGCAAATCTTCAGATAAGAATTCACGTTTTAGAATACAGATCACAGTATATTCAATGTGATAAAGAAATGTAGATATTACATGGAGTGTTACTGATAATACAGGCTGTTTAGTAGATTGGAATCTAGCTTTCCAATACCGGAAAGTTTCACTGAAATCTGAATATTGGCTGTGATAAAACTTGGAGGAAAAGTCGATTGCTGGAAATACCTTGATTATATGACTTCAAGTACACACTTTAAGTTATATTAAATACCTACCTAATAATGGTCCTATGGTTAGATTAAGAATTCCCATGGCACTCATAAAGATTCCGATGGCGGCTGAGAATTCATCCTCCTTTACAGATTCCGAAACGACTAGAATTATCACAACTAAAATGATGCATCTTGACATTCCCATCAATGTCAATAAAATAAAGGTTAAAATCTGGCTGTTGGATGTTAAAATACCTGAAAATTTCAAAAAAACGTAGTTTAAGTAATTAAAAGTAAAAGTTTAATTTATCTTGTACAATGTACATTTTATTGCACATATCTTTACTATCTCATATACATCTCATACTGTAGTGATATTGTTGTGACTAAGAGCTATGAAAATAATTAAATTGCTACACTATTTGATTTTAGGCAATTATTTATCTCTTTCTGTCAAATTGTATTTACGCTTTGTCGTAAAGAGATATATATCACATTTGCTAAAATAACAGAACTAGTATTTTTTTTTAAATAATAGGGGGGCAAACGATCCTGCGGGAAGCCCAAAGAGGGCAGTCATTGCCCATTTTTAGTAGGTGCGTTGCCGGCCTTTGAGGGAGGAGTATACTCGAACTTTGAACATTTGGAGGTCGTATTTCTCAGGGAAGACCCCCACCGGGAGTTGATGCCACAGTTCGCTAGTTCTCAAAAGAAAATGCCTTGTGAAACGGACAGTGATGCATATAAATTAGTTTTATAAATAAAGTTCTTATTAATGAGGCAATAAGTGACAGTAGGAGACAATTCTTGATTGATTTTAAGGACACTATATGTAAAAATATATATAATTGTAGGTAATTTAAACTTCTTGATTTGCTTCAATATGACAGTTACTTTTACATGACATAAAAAGCGGCTGCCATGACATTTTGCATTTATACGCAGGTAATTATAATAAATAATTAACTGATAAAAATGCAAAAATCAACAGATGATGTCATGTATAAGCTGAAATATTAATTTTTTAATTATTACCCTTCTGTTATTGTGTGTGATTTCTCTAAATCCGTTCCCTATCGCCCGAAAATATAAATGATTTTATGAAGTAAAAAATCAATTAATCAATGTTTTAGCTTTATTACTCTTGTGCCACTTTGCAAATAAGTAAACGGGACAAAACACTAAGTAACAAATTGAGGTTTATAGTACATACCTATTCTCGTTACAAATGCAAGCATAATTCCAAACACGTAAATCGAACGGCTACCCCATTTATTCATCAATTTATCAAAGACTATCATAAGAATCCTCATGGATAAATCACCTACAGCCACTAAAGTAAACGCCATCGCTGTATCGTCCTGCAAGATGTGTTTTTACAGTATGTCAGTAATATTATAAATTCTCAAGATTTAGTAGAGGTTTTTCTAACGAAGCTAGAAACGCTGAACGTATCTCCAGTACCCTTTGATAATAATTTTCATAAAAAATATTTTCCCGCAACGTCAATCATATTTAATTCAAAATAAGTACATTACCGCTACTAAAAACATTGAATACTGAAAACACTGAACCATACAAAGGTTCTTTGAATTCACGTACTCTTATTAAGTACGAAACGAAATGATTATTATCCGCGATGTACATCAGTCACGTGCGGTACAGATGTACATCGCGGATTTAAAAATTCTGTAATTTCCTAAACATTTATCAACAAACAAATAAATTCAGTAGTATTTGTACGAAATTGAGTACATATATTCTCACTATTTGGGAGTGGTCTGGACACTAGCAGTACATGATTTTTTAGTTTAACATACACATACAATATACAAATTAAAAATAATACAATAAGTTAGTCCCATCCCATTAATGGCTTATAATTTTTTAAGTTTAAGTTCTAATGCAATATACGAGTATATCTAGAAGAAAGACTAAATTCTTACCTCACTCCAGTTAAACTCACATGATTGAAGGGCTTGTGGAAGAATCATCAAAAATATAAACTCCACAGTCATTACTAATGTAGCACCTCCACATTCTATTGATAGCAAGAAACCTTTTATAAGCTTAAAATCTATCAGATCATTCAAAAAGCCCCTGAAAAAAAAATTAATCATTAAGCTTTTAATTAGTGACAATTAATAGATTTTTTTTAATATCATATACACCGAGGTTAGTCGATTTATTTATAAGTATTTTTTGGAGACTGATCTTATCACATTAACAGCGGTTCCTTTTAAGGGAATAAAGGAGTTATTTCCTTAAAAGCTATTAGTGAGTCGTAAGTGCATTGTGTGTGTGTGGGTTTATTTATTTAAGGAAATTTATTATGTCATCTGTAGCTTGTCATTTAGTCAATACATTGTGATAATTAAAATACGTGCAAAAGTCGACAAGTATGTATATAAAAGGATTATATCTTGTAATATACAAACGAGTATGTGCTGTAGACAACATAAATTAAATAAACTCACCCAATCTTTTTTTGTTTGCTATCTTCTGTGATATTTTGTAGTCTATCTACATCAATACTGGTACAGTCAGTGAGCGCCTTTGTTGTGTGGTTGATATTATTCTCATTTAATAGTATTTTTAATTCTGTAAACATATTTTTTTGTAAAAAAAACTTTTAAAGTAAATTTTTGTGTACAATTCGAGACTGTCTCATATACAAATTAGCACTAGCACTTCACATTTAAGCGAGTGCGTTATCAGTGGGGCCGTCCAAACACATTTTCATTACTGGCCGATCACACATCAAGAGTCTGTTTTCCTTTTATTGTAGACGTTAGCTATGTGAGGGGACCCAAACTTCTCAAATAACAAAAAAATTAATTCTATATAGAATGTAATATACCTTGCTCTTTTGGTGAGATCTCAATCTTTTTCATGTGCCACGATACTGGTTGCGTAAGAGTTGCAGCAATGATCATATGCACAGATAAAGCGCAAAGCCATATTAAACTGTTTCTATATCCGAAGACATTTATGGACCATTTAAAGAATTGAGGTGCCACGAGACATAGAACCGCTGGAAAAAAGAAAATCTTTAGTTTATTGAATCTATATTGTGGGTAAAATCTTTATATGTCCTAAATACTCAAAAGCCGTGCGCTACTCTGAATCCTGAGGTACGAAACCAATTTTATTCAGATATATCTGTATAGTAAAATATTGTGAGTAACCCGTAATAACAAATGGACATATGACCCTGTATCTTACCTTCCATCAAGTAGGATGTAGCCAATCCCCTGACCACTTTTTTTGTGTTAAAAAACAATAAAAAATGTTGACGATGTAGTTTTAGAACAGTAATGCGGTATACACACATGCACAGTAGATGGGTTTGAGTGGAACATCTACTGGCATATAAATATAAGTTATTAAAAATCTGAATAAATAGGTCTACCTCATTCCCCATTGGGACTTAAATAAATACAACTGGTATTTCATATATACTTATTATAACAAACAATATTACCTAATAATGTTTGTGAAACACTAACTGCTAGACTTCTTTTTTTAACAAAGTAATCATTAAGAGCCGTGCTTGAAATGTTGAATATTATGCCCTGTCCGAGACTCTGAAATATGTATATATTAAGTATATAAGACTTAATAGTAAAAAAATCCTGTTACTAGGTATACCTGTGCAACGCCTTGAAATATAAACAAAATTATTTTAGATTGAGCAAAAACTGTACAAAACAGTCCTGTATTCCACAGAGTAGCTCCAATTAGGGCCATTTTCCGTTTTGACAGCCTCTTTAGAAAAAATGAGGTCATTAAACCTAAAACAAAAACAATTTTTAAAACAAATACCCTTTCTATATCAATTTTTAAAATTCTAAACTAATTCTAATGAGAAAAATTTAGGATTTTCTAACTTAAGTTAAAAAAACAGCTGTAACATACCTGTATTTTTCAAGGAATGTATTTATTACCTCAAATAAAAATGAACATCGCACTTACTTCCTATTGCTGAACTCATAGAATTGATTCCATTCAATGATGTAATATTTGTGGAATCCATTCCTAATTCACTAAAAAAGTCCTTGTATATAATTCCATAGCAATTTATGTATGCACTTAACATTGACTGGAATGAAATAATAGTGATTTAATTGTGAGGAGCTTCATGATATGGATAAAACATAAACTAAATATTGATAATTGCACGGGCCAAATAGTTTCTCGCGTGTATATTTTAAAATACTTACCAAATTTACAAAAACACATGTTAAAATAATATAACCATAACCGCCATCCGGGGCAACCAATTCATAAGTTTTCACTTTGGCCATGGCAAAATTTGACTAAAGTTAAAAAAAAATATTACTTCTATTTAAAACGTACGTCTGATATTTTCATTATTATATCATTAAAAATTTAATCTTTTTATCATTTGTATATTTGAATGTATCTTAAAATTGCGTGAACAGCATCTACAAGTCAAATCCTAACACAAACGCCAAGATTTCGTAATTAAAGTAAGTAATCTTTCGATTGTAAAGTTTTAGTAGCTAACTACTTTTTTAAATTATCAAAATATAGTATATTTTAAAAATAACGTTAATAAGTTTTATTTTATGTTAAATAAAATTATACATTACATAAAAACAGACAGATTAATCTTGAATATAAAATCTTTGCTAGGTTGTACTATATTGCATTCTTCATCTGGGTTTTTAAAACGAAGACCCCTTTGCATCATTTACAAAACCAAAGTCACAAACACCTAATCCTATCCTATCTAACCTCTGGCTGCGCGTAGACTGCGATGACTATCCGCGATTCTATGCGTGCCTGTATAGGTCCCATAGCGGAAATGACGAAACTAACCGACTCATCGAGCACATTCAAACGGCTACAGATTCCCTGCTCGAAAGGGTTCCTACCGCTGAAATCGTGATACTTGGCGATTTTAACGCCCACCATACTGATTGGCTTGGCTCTGATACCACCGATCACGCGGGAAGATCCTTTCACGACTTTGCTTTTACCTACGACCTGACACAAATGGTCCCTGCGATTACGCGAATACCAGATGTGGATGGTCATAATTTTCTGCTGACTTCACATCCGGAGAACTATCAGGTCTCTGTTGACCCGACATTGGGTTCATCAGATCATTGTGTGGTCCGGAGTACTGTGCCTTCTACGCGCCCTTCACGGCCCCGCTTTTTGGGTTGTCGCCGTATTTGGCACTACAAGTCAGAAGATTGGGACGGGATGCGGTCTTTCTTTGCGTCCTACCCTTGGGGGCCTATGTGCTTTTCGTCGGAAGCTCCAGATTCCGTCGCTGCCTCTGTCGCCGAAGTGGTTCTGCAGGGCATGGAACTCTTTATTCCATTTTCTGCGGTGCCGATCGGTGGCAAGTCTCAGCCCTGGTTTAAACGTTCTTGCAAGGCGGCCTTGAAAGCGAAAATGCTTTAACAGCGCGAAATCTCTGATGCCAAATTACCGCTTATCTTAAAACATATAACTCAGGGGGGCTGGGCTCCCCGAACCGGAAAACCCAAGGGCAAGGTCAGGGCACATTGGCAGATTTGGCGGGAGATTGGCCCAACTTCCTTCAGGGACTTGAGCCTTCTGGTCTCTTGCCAAAGCTGTCCAAGGGATTTTTGTCAGCCCGCCATTCCACCACTGCACAGGGAGGATGACTCGCTAGCCCCACTGCGAAGGAGAAGGCCGATCTTTTGGGCTGTCTCTTTGCGTCCAACTCGACTTTGGATGACCGAGGAAGATCACCACCGACCATTTCGCGGTGTGATTCTTCGATGCCGGAAATTACATTCCGGCAACGTGCTGTCCGCAAAGCACTATCTTCCTTGGACATTTATAAGTCGAGTGGGCCGGATGGTATCCCCCCAATTGTGCTGCGTACTTGTGCTCCTGAGGTGGCTCCGGTCTTAACGCGCCTTTTCCGGTACCTGTACTCGCTTGGCACTCTGGGTCCGGGTTCGGAGTGTTGAAAACAGCTTCGCTATATATCCGATCCTAAAAAGCGATCGCTCTGATCCGTCCAACTATCGCCCAATAGCCATAACCTCCTTGTTCTCCAAAATAATGGAATCCAATCCAATTACCAGCTCTTGAGGTATCTAGAGGGCCACCAGCTGATTAGCGATTATCAGTACGGCTTTCGTCGTGGTCGTTCGGCTGGTGACCTTCTTGTACACATAGATGGGCAGAGGCAATTAAATCCAAGGGGAGGCGCTAGCGGTTAGTTTGGACATACAAAGCCCAGCGAAAGCCTGCGATCGGTGTGGCACAACACCTGGGGCCTCTCCCCCCCCCTCGGGCTTTCGGCGGAAAATTCGCCGTTGTTTTTTCAGCTTTCTGGCCGATCGGAGCATCAAGGTCGTCATCGACGGAGCATGTTCCGACCTTACGTGAACGCGGGGTCCCAAAGGCTGTGTTCTATCCCCGACCCTGTTTTATCTGCATATCAATGATATGTTGCAACTTAGCAGCATTCATTGCTATGCGGGGTGACAGCACTGGGGATACTCTTTACACTGGCCGGGCAGGTATTTCTCGGGCAGTTGTCGATGAACAAACTTGTGTCTGAAGTCGAAACTTTACTACGTGGTGTCTCAACTGGGGCAGACTAAACCTCTCCTATCCAATTAACCCCAAGAAGACACAAGTTTGCGCGTTTTCCGCTAAAAAAACACCCTTTGTCGCTACTCCTATTTTCGAAAACACTCTTGTATAAAAACACATTGAATATACACGTTACATATTTTAGTTAAATAAAATTATACATTAGCATCCAAAAAGGGGGGGGGGGAAAAAAAAAAAAAAAAAACACCCCCCCGCCCCACCAAAAAAAAAAAAAGAAAAAAGGGCCCCCCCGGGGGGGGGGGCCCCCCCCGGGGGGGGGGCCCCGCCCCCCACCCCCCCCAAATACAAGATTAAAAAAAGGGGGGGGGGGAGGGGGGGGGGCAACAACCCCCCCCGGGGCGGCCTGGGGGGGGGGGGACAGACAGAGTGATCAATGAGTTGTTCCAATGTAATACCTGCAGCTGAGTTTCGTCATCGGACGTCGAGGCAGCGTACGATATTCCACCCGTATCACCTCGCGTGACGTCCGCCGTTCCACATCTGAGCGTTTTTAAAGGAAGGTTTTGCCGCGCACCACCACTTTGTGGAACCAGCTGCCCACTGAAGTATTTCCGAACCAATTCGACTTAGGGTCCTTCAAGAAAAGAGCGTACCAATTCTTGAGAGGCCGGCAACGCACTCGCAGCGCCCTCTGGCATTGAGAGTGTCCATGGGCGGCGGTATCAGTATCAAGCAACGGGGGGGCCCCCCGCCCTTTTGCCCCCAATTCTATAAAACCAAAAAAAAAACTATAAATTCATTATTTTTTTGGGGTTAGTTCAACGAGTTTCACTCACTCCGATAGTCTAATTATCGCGTTATTAAACACAATATTTTAAGGAATGGGCCTCAGATTTTTGTATTTATTTCGTGATCATTTGTTTTTTTTAATAGGCAAGTTGGTGATTAGCATTCTAATTTCCTCACGATGTTTTTCTTCAGAGTGTGAGCGAATATTAAGTGCGCATATAGACAGAAAGTCCATTAGTGTGGAGCCGGGGACTCAGGGATTAGAGTCGCACTCTAATGCCTCTAGGCCAATACTGCACGTTTAACAGTGTAATACAATCCCATAACCATGAATTCACTTAAAATTGCTTTCATAAAATTAAGATTTCCTTAACGAACACTGCCATGTTTATAAATCTTATAACTTTTAACAAAGCCGTTCTTATTACATGAATAAAAACAAGTTTTATAAAATAGCAGCATCTGCTCTTAATATTTCGTCAGGAGCAAAATAATTTCCAGACATAATTTATGGAAATCTGAATGTAAATTTAAATTTAATGTCATAACCTTGTTTTTTATAGCAAATATAAGCGAAAGGAATATTTTATTATAAGCAAAAATTATATTTTATAACTAGTGTTAGTTTTTGTGTGATTTTAATAAACAGATATAAATAATAAAATTTGGCATTTAATAAAACGATAAAAATCATGTAGCGATATTAATGGCAGGCAATAAATGCATTGATATCAATTCGTTTTAAAATCAGTATTATTATGGTTAAATTTATTTACCTAATTTTCACGTGAATTTAGGAAAGAATGCAAGTGCCTAAAGCTGGGATGGTTCAAGAATCTATGAGCTCTCGTAGCCCAATAGCACAGATACATTTCTCCATTTGTTTCAGAGATAATTGATTAATGGCAATTAGATCGTGAGACAAACAACGAATAATCGAGGTTCAGGTGCCTGATCACAATTTGCATATAAAAAAGATCAGGCGCAAACAATTTTCCGATTTTTTTTATTTTACAGGTCATAATTTCCCAAACATCAGTCGACATTTGTAAGCTCACATAAAGTACACAACGAAAAAACAACTTTTGACATGGGTATGAGCTGTTATATTTATTTATATAGAGCTTTAATATATGTTTTACGAAATGTTAAGCTGCTTATTGTAGGTATAAAATTACTTACGATATATAGAAATAATATTTCACGATTTGCTACCATATTATAATATTTTCAATTTTTATGCGTCCTATATCCATTAGGTCTATGTAAACTACCCTAGAACTAACAGGAACACCTTTATTTAATTTTATTCCACCCTTTCTATATTTGCATTTCATTGCAGTAACAGGCACGGAAATAATGTGGAATGTGTTTATACAGACAAAGTGGTTAAGGAACCTTGTCTACCTAATAGTGTTTTTATGTAATAGGAGGCAAACGGGCAGGTGGCTCCCCTGATGTTAAGTAATACCACCGCCAATGGACATTCACATTGGCAGAAGGCTCGCAAGTGCGTTGCCGGCTTTTTAAGAATGTAAAGCAAACATTGACCGTTATTAATAACAAAAAGTATTCCATACAAACTTTACTTTAATAATTTATATGAATAGTTGGTCATTTATAAGAGTCTTAATGCTATTAAAATTCAAATTTACATCGCACAGGTTTATCGAAATAATATTATAATGAGGACATAATTGTGTGGTAATCAGCAACATATTGTTATATAAAAATATTTTATTCACGTAAATGTTATTATCATGATTCAAATGATACAAAACATTTATTAGGCATTTTAGACTTTGTAATGCAAGTAGCTCATTTCGTAATTTAATGTTTAAAGAACTTTATTTCTCTTTACAAACATGAATTATTTACTTTATACATACGAACGAGATACACGTCACCGCAGCCTTCCTTATTTTAGTTTACTGGGCACATTCTGGTATGTTGTATCTTTAATGCCCTTTTGAATTGGTTAAACACGCTAATATAGCGAATTTTAGACAATATATTTATTATTTTATGATTGATTTAACTAGTTTGATCATGCAACATTTAAATTTTTATTTAATACTGGAGATTTCTGTTGATGTCCCTGACTGCAATTATTTTTATATAATAGTTTACACATATAGGTAATTCCAATTACTCCGAAAATAGCAGTGATCATGTTAAGTGCTAATTGGTAATTATTAGTGTTATCTCTTATAGCACCTGAAAATAAGTATTTAATTTAATAATTAATCTTATATTGTAATATTAGAACTGTGAATGTCAGTACGATTCTTAATAACGTACTATATAAGCGGAATATCAGATACACTTAATAGTAGGTACTTAATGGAACGGTTAAACAATGAATTACTCATTCAATTGAAGGGATAAAGTGTATGACACCAAACATAACTAAGTATTTATAGATTTTTTTTCTAGCTATTTCCATTTAATACTAAGTTACGAAGCGTAATATCTTATTTAATAATACTAACCTATTATAGGTGCCAAAGTCAGATTTCCAATACCAGAGCATAACATTGATATACCAAGTGCAGCTGGGTATTTCTCTGGTCCAACAGCATCAGCTATCACCAACACAAAAAAATATGAAGAGAATGCATCGAGAAACGCCCAGTATCGTGAATAATGTTAGAGCAGCTGTCATATTGTCGAATGAAGTAATTCCTGGAAAGTATTTTATTAAATTTGTGGTAAATTTTCTTATACCTGTATAATATATTAGTTTTTACATATACATTTACTTTTACTATTCAAGCACCAAACATTAAATGAGTTCTCACTCAATAAATAATTAATACATTTTATACTATTAACACTTGAAATAAAAATACGTTGGTGTATTTTTAGATATACTATATCAATATAAATAAATACCTAGTCTTGCAGCAAGAGTGAGAATGATGCCAAAAATATAAACTCTATTGCTTCCATATTTATTAAACCACTTGCTGATTACAATTAGAAAAATCTTAGTCAATACATCTCCGAGGGCAACGAGTGTAAAGGCCCACGCTACATCACCCTGAAAAGTGACAATTAATTAAATCCCTTTTGAATGGGTTGTTCTGTCTGTGTTAATTGAAATAATTTAGAATCTGAAAATTAAATGCGAATGACTCTTATGATCCATTATTTCATAATACAAACATAATTTAAGTGTTTGCTTATACACATCAATATTTAAATATTTAAATGGTAGTACACTAACTTACTTCACCGGAGAGCGACCTATTTGGGAAGCGTATGGGGGTAGTATGCTGTGATTTGAGAGTATACTTGGATGGAGGATGAGTGGATAGCATTTAATGTCAATTTTGTAAATAACTTAATTGTATCTTATTGTAGTTTTATGTTATTTTTAGTCTAAGTTTGGCCATGCATGGGCTGTAAATAAATAAATGTAGAACTAAGGTCGACAGAGAGGACTGATCGCCTATTTAATTTTATAGGATTTTTTAAATAGAGAAAAGTGTCAGCCTCTCGCCAACTTTGACTCATAAAGATTTATGACCTTCTATCTAATTTCACTAGTATACATCGACAAGTAAGTTTAAGTATATAGTGGGCATTTAGAACGTATCACATAAAATGTTTGTGTGTGGTGTGGCCAGTGGCCTAATCTGTATTGCATTAGCGAAAAGAAAATTACGATCTGATAGAATGATCTTTTTACTATGAAATATTATTCAATTACGGTTGTGTGTGGAATACACTATAATTTATTTAAATGTCTCAGCCATCAAGTAAATCATGTATCGCTGTTCCGTTTAAAACATTCGACAAGGTACTTACTTCGCTCCATCCAAAAGAATTGAAAGCTGAAGGTATCATGTACATGTATGTGAGGTCAATGATAAGGCATATACCAGGGCCCACGCATTCGACTGATAAGGAGTACGATTTAATGAGTTCCATGTCTAATATTCTTCTCACACGGTGTCTGAAAATAGTATATCAACAAAAAGGTAAAAATATTATTTCCCGCATCAAGAATTGCATACAAAAATTTATGAGGTGTAAATAATGAAGCAGGTTAGACGAGGAATTATTGTTCTAGTGAAGTCCAATGTAACTAATAAATTTACTCGTTGCCTTCTGAAGAGACAGCAATTGTTTTTGACTTAAAACATACAGTATATTTGAAGGATCTCATGTTAGATTTAAAAAAAAAAAAAAAAATAATTTTACTTAAAGTATGATGAACTAATGTATCTAAAACTGCATCCTTTTATTAAAAATAAACCTTTTTTTACTTATCGTTTGAAACAGTACTATAATTAAAAGCTTCTTTCGCTTTAGCCTGAGTTAGCACAAATAATAAAATACTTACATAAAACTTTCTTTATCTTTTATCTCTAAGTTGCGACCTGCATTTATGTCTGCGGGTGTTTTCTGGGACATTTCAGTGTGTTCTTTTAGAAGCAACTTCATTTCTAAACAAAGGAAATACTAAATATAATCATAAAGTGAACAAGATATAAAAGACTTTAATTTTCCTTTCAGTTCTTAATACTTACATTCATTTATTATTGACGATTTTTTTGTAATATAAATCTAAAATATAATAAATCTATAAACATTTTGGATACACGTGTGTTTGAATGTATTAGATATATTAGTTTCATCTCATTAAAAAAAGGGTGCGTGTACGCGCGTAAGACTATTACTGTATACTTCTTTGGCATTATTAATAATACATACGAATAGTTAACCTCAATTGTATTGAAGCATTTTAGGAAGGTTGATGAGCACAGTTTTTTCACAAATATTTTCTAATATTAATTAGTGTTGATTTAAATATTCAATTTAAATCACTTATGGATTATAATTCAGACGCACATATAAAATTTGCACTTGTTTAATGAAAACAAAATGAAAATACGTGTTTGAAATGTAGAAACTCAAAGCATGTGGATATATATTATAAATATAAATACACAGTGAACAGAGGCGGCGTGCGTGCCAACATGCGCCACTAACAGAAGGTTCCATTTCTGTTTTGTTGGTAGCATTTTTTCCTCAACTTAATGAGTGATTTAGTGGGCAATCATTCATTCATTCTGTTAATTTTGTGTCACGGTGCACGCGCATCGTAAAATTTCACTCTCATCAATTTTTCATAACGCGCCTAAAGAAGTTCTTCAAAATTTTAAGGATCAAACCAGTATTGTGATTATGTAATATTCACCAGTTTCATATGGAATTTCTTCTATCTTCATATGCCAGGCGACTGGCTGCATCAAAACTCCAGCAAAAAAACTGTGTACCGATATTGCGCAGACAATTATAAGGGTACCCCTGTGTCCATACCATTCTGTCGTCAGTTTAAAAATGTGAGGCTCGATAAACGCAACAAATGCTAAAAAATACTCATAACTTTAAAATAGACAAATCTATTAAAACTTGTGTGGACAATCTTGTACGTTATCACAACGCACCTATTATAAAGGTGGGTTATTTTTCATTCGAAAACTGTCATAATCTAATGGAAAGCTTTTACATGCTCATCTTTGAGATTTAATGTTTTTGTATCAAATAGCAAGATTTTATTTATTATCAGCACCAAAAAAGTAAATTTTAGCATTCAATACTTGTACTTGGCCTGTACATAAACAATAGTATCATATTTATTTATTTTTAGTACTTGCATATCATTAATCAACATGACAATTCACTAATGTCCTATTAAACCTAATGTCAATTAAGCCGGCCGTTGATTTATGGGTAAGCAATTAATCTAAATGACAGTTGAAGTGTGTGGCTGTTTAAAAAAAGGTAAAATACCATAATTAAAATAGTTTTGGATGCAATACGTTGTTTCTTAAAATTTCTTTATAAAATCAAAAGAATATACAAACCAACGATTGTTTGCGTAACACTGATAGCAAGAATCCGTTTTTTTACGAAATATTCATTTGTTGTTATTGTGTTTGATATATTGAAAATTAGTCCGTACCCAATGTTCTGCAATATAAAACAAATTTAATATCAGAAATTCAAAATAAATTGAACAAGAAATATAATTAACTACCTGAAATACACCTTGAAAAATTAAGAATATAATTTTGTGCTCCGCAAAGATGGTGCAAAATACTCCACAGTTATAGAACAACGCGCCCAATAAAACAGTCTGCCTCATTGACAGCACTCTAAGTAGCGGTGCTGTTAAAAAACCTAAAATATATTTAGCTATAAAATATAATATAATTACATGCGTTTCCTTAAAAAAAATAACCTCCAAAGTAAACATAAATTAGAAGAACGAACGTTCGATTGGGCTTTACAGCGTGTCTAGACAAATCATAAAGTATGATTCAACATAGAGTAAAGTTTTTTATTTTTAACCAGTACATATTGATTGTTCAGTAAAAGGCGTCATGCTGGGACTTGTCTTGTCTGTGTGATTGGATTTAATTGGATGTTGACGATTAACAATGTGACAAAACGCGCGTCGTTTGATTCTCATTCTACTGGTTTTGATTCCCTTTGAAACAATAGTCGTGTAGGCACAAAATGTATTGAAGCTACGAAATTTGAATTATAAAATGACAGAGATTTTATAATCTAAATAGTGAATTAAACATATTAATTACTTGTATTCTCTAGAGTCAAAATAAAACAAATACATACCCGAAAGTGCAGCAAACATCGCCGAAATTCCACATAAGAATGTTATGTACGTTGATTTCATGCCCAGTTCAATAAAATAATTATTATAAATAATTCCATAGGAATTCAAGTGTGTTCCAAGTATTGCCTAAAATATATTACGAAGAAAAATAAATCTGATTGTATGTTGCTTGTAAAATATATTTTTATACCAAAAGACCCAAATTCTTAGTAAAATTACTCAATATACAAACAACAGCGTATAACATATTTACATTGGGAAATATCAAGTCGTAGAGGAGAATGAGTTAATTTCTAAGGCAATTCCTAAAAGCCAACGTGCCAACTAATATGCACATACTCGTATAATATACCGCATCCGCCGCACCGTATCGTAAGAGACTACGATTTCCAGCGAGTCAATAATTATTATGAATAAGAAGGCAGACTTCGGGACTTAAAACACAAGAAACGTTCTTACCATATTAATAGTAACTGCTATAAGGATCACAAAGCCATAACCTCCATCAGGTGCTACTAGTTCGTACCTTTTTGTTTTATTCATTTTCACTTATATTCCTATATTTTCTTTGTTTAGGTGTAGTGGACATGTGCTCAACACTCAATAAAACAATAGTATATTAAAGTATTGGTTCAATTAATAATACTAGTTACCATAATTAAATATAAAAAGCATTTAATGCATAGATAGCATTAAAGTCACATTAACTTATGACTAAAGTTTGAAACTTAAGTCAGTAATATTGCACAAACTGTTGGCACTTCTGATGCTAATGTTAAACTTGTTTTATAAAAAGGGAATATACTGGCTTAAAGGCACGAGTTTAAATATTGGTCCAAGTTAACTAGATCATCGGTTCGGTCGTTTATTGCATTAGGATTGGGATGGGATTAAAATGCAGTTTGGTGGCGAAAAATTCAATTACGTTTTTTCACTAAAAATATACAGTAGTAAACCAATTTTGGAGTTTGTTGGTGTCTAAATATCAACGTGACAATTCGGCCGTGTCTTTGTATCGTGTCCTTCGTGTTCGGCAGTCTCGCCAACCTTATTGTCTAACAATGTTTATAAATTTCAACAAAATAATAAAACTCATATTAGAAGATCTTTAAGAAGTTTTATGATTCGCCCATCGGCGATTTTATACCTACTTTTAAATCTAAAAGCTATCAAAAATAAAAATTGAAATTTTATTGTACCGAACCTGGTTTGCTAAAATATAAACGTAAAACACATAACGTAGGAATAGGCTACATAATAATATAAATACGCAAACAATAATAAATCAATCTCAACTGTTTATATAACAACTAACATCATATGATAATAATTGTATAAATACATTATTATTTAATAGTTAATTATGTATTTTTTATCATCAATAAAAAACCACTTTGGTGCACATTGTTCCCACTAATTGGTATTGGCTAAGAATGTTTTATCGCAACAACCATTACCAAAATTGCAATTAAGCGGTGGCAATTGCGTAAGTAATTAAACCATACTTAACAATATTATTGATTTGTTTACTTTATTTTTTTATCTACAATCTGGAAAAGGCTTGACAATATCACCTCGTATTTTTAAAAACCAATTCAGTCAGATACAGCTTCAATTTTTCTAAATTCATATAAGTTAAGTGTGTATGAAGATACGTGAAATTATGTACCAGTAAATAGTGTGCACAGCTTGGTTTTGAACAAAACATACAAGTCCAAACGCTTAACAACTGCAATTCGGAAGTATGCTAAGTAATATCTTAGAGAATAACAAAGCAACAATATTAACAATAATAACACAATAATAACAATCATAATCTGCACTTTCGAGAGGATTAGGTAGCTTACGTAGTATAATTATACTACGTAATTACGGTACGGTATTGTTACCATTTCCGTACAACCAAAACAGAAAAAATTGGGACCGACAACAGGGATATACCAAATAGCGTAGACTTCATCTGGTCGACTAATTATTTTATAGGCAAGTGTATGTAGGTCTCTGGGTTGAAGGTTTAAAATAAAACTAAGCGCAAGACCCACGGAGCATATTTATCAATAAGAGTTCATAAGGATTTATAATTTAATAAAAATATTTATAGGTTTCAAATGATACAAAACTAAATTATTGTAGTTCCAAGCTAGTTTTAATTTTTAATAAAAGTTTCACCATTTAGTCTCGCTACGCTGTTGGCCGAGGCTGTCAGTCACATCTGCTACAATTTCGCGAGAATTAATTGTAACAGCATGTCACGGTGAGCCCGGAAGTCCCGAAAAGCTGACGTATTGGTCTCATCGCGACGTTGTTATTATTTTTATATCACATTAGTTTCATAACTCTTTTGATTTGGTTATAGTAAGTTACGAAAGTCATGTTTTTTTCTATTTACGATAAAAACAAAAGCTATTAGATTTCGTTCCGCACATTTTAAAAAGTACAAATATATGATTGTATTATTATTATTATTATGTTTGGTAACTGATTACTTTAACCCAGAATCAGGTAGACACAAGGGCCTAAGGCCCTGATCTTGCCAGGGTCATGATCTTGGGGTTATTGAATAGAGTCCCCTCTATTCTATGTATTGTATTTTATTCTGTAGGGAATAGAAGCGCGTATTTGCCTTAATTCCTATAACATTATCATTCTAGATATCAGGTTAAGAGAAGACACGTCCGCAAATCGGTCAGGGACACTTACTCGTCGATACAAATTTGAACAATGAAAAACTGTCTATAATAAAAATTTAAGGTTGGAGAATCTACGTGACTTTGAAGTCATTATCTACCAACGTCTTTATTAATAGCAAAAGGCTAAAATATGTAAATTTTATGATAAGCTTTAATCAAATGATAATTTCATATATTAGGAAACATTATATTATAAGTAGCAATAATATCATCGAACTATAGAGGTATCATAAAAATGATATGTATTATTTATGCATCCTAAAATGCCATATAAAATTGTTATTTACGAGAAATTTATTTATTTAAAATATTAACATAGTAGTCACTATTTTAGACGTCATAACATTTTAATGGTGTACATTTTGTTTCTCAACTATGTGGATGCGTTCGCGCATCTCATTAGAGCACCCTGTAGCGTCTAACTAGTTAAACAAATTAAGATTCTGCATAATTTTCAATAAACAGATAATAAATTATAACTATTATAACGAGCAAAAACAATATTATCGCCCGCCTCCCGCAATCGGCGGAATATATTTGTCCATGAATCAAGCGATGTGATCGACACAAATTTTGAATGACAAGTTTATAAATAAAGAAAAATACTCGACAACTGAAAATATATTTTCTGTTACAGGTTACGTAGATCAGATTTTCAATTTATTTTGTATAAATCTATGTAGTGGCGAAACATGTTCAACAATCTGACGAGGAATAGAGACAGAAGTAGTATGTACTTAGTCTTATTCTTAGCAAATAGCCGGGCTTATGAGTTAAGTTGTTCTTATGAATATTAAATAGTAATAGTACTATACTACATTATGTATACGCAATACGCTTCCAATAATTAACGGAGTACAAAATATAGAAAATAATTCATCAAGCAGATAAATTAATCAACATCAAATTAAATGCATAGTTTCTATATTAAATATAAATAGGTTATGAAGTTAGTCATTAGTAAGTTTAGTCCGTTACTAATGAACGTGCACTGATACATGACTATAATCGTATATTTATCCGAAATACAGCCCGTATAGTTTTCAATAAGGTTGTGAAATAGCCTTCGGCCCACCAATAAACCCTGCGTAATCAAGTTAATTATTCCGCTAGGAGCTTGAAATAGACGTTGCCTTTAAGACTCGTGAGGAACCTTGTAACGTTTCAGACTTATGACTTAAACACACAAACACTATTTTGAGATGTTGATCTTTATAAGTAACTGTAATAATATTAGATACAAAGTTATGTACTATGTAGTCTTAAAACAAACATAGTAAGTTCTTTAGTACGTCTACAAAGTTGTTGTTTAATGTATTGTAAATTATGTATATTGTAATATAATAATTTATTTATTGCAAGAATATGGTACATCGTATGGTAAATCGCTCGCATATTCTGCCACACACGATGGCGTGCAAATTTGTCTTAAGGAATTTTACATTATTAGTCAAAGTCAATTCTTATATTATCTAGTCTATTATACTATATACATTACATCATTAATTTTATATCAATTACGGTGTTTCACTGTTAATTAATGTATTGCGGTCTCAAACAAAAAACGAAATATAGAAGGGATAAACAACTCACTATTAAAAATGTTCTATTAGAATAATAATAAAAATGAGTGCAGACTAGTTTATTTACATTTGAAGGGCATAAAGGTTGTATGAAGCTTTTAGTGTTGATGGTGATGGCGCAAGAACACATGCGTACAGGGGGACGAAATTAAACATAGATATACAAAAATATAAAAATTTAATCGTAAACCTACTCAAAGCTTCTACGTTGACTGATAGAATTACCAACAATTTTATTATTTTTTAGCATTAATATGCTACAAAAATTAAATAAAAACAACCTTTCAACGTGCAGAAAACTTGGGTACTAGAAAATCTATCGAATTGTAGTTAGTTACTTTAACTAGTTACTATAAACTAATTAGGTTTGCAAACAATAAAATTACAAAATGTACATTTCTTTTGTTGAATAAGTCATGGAAAGAATATCTCGGCGTCAGAATTTCTTTCGAGAGATATAATTGAAAGTAATTCATTTCTGTGGAATTTCAAATAAAGCTGGATGGCTATTACTTTCTTTATCATTTCTTTTCATGCCATATATGTACAAAGACGTATTCAAATAATTTCTTATAAATGTTTTCATAAAAATATTATAAAATAGCTGTTATTAGTTTAGTGTCGCATGGTCGTATGGTCTCGGTATATTCAACGTACTATAGCTTCGGTTTATTCCCGAAAAAATATACGTCATTTGATTAGCTAGTAAGACGACATAAGACTCGATTTAAAAAAAATATAAATACTTTGCCATGTCCTATTAAGGACTATTTTAAGGTCTAATTAAAAATACACAAGATTTATTTTAGAGCATTCCTCACTGTATATGTTGCGTGTACTATAAAGCTGATGTATATTTCTTTGAACGTAGAATTCTCCTAAAACAGTAAGGGAGGTACGCCACCCTTCGTGTTTATTGTATCCAACTAGTGGTGGTACCACCCCCCAACTTGGCAGTGGTAGCGAACCACGAGCTAGCCCCGACGTGCGTGCGGGGAACATTTGCGAAAATAACAATTGTTACGGTTCTTTTCTTTGTTGGAAAATCGAAAAATGTGAAAACGTTGTCCTAAAGTATACAAAATATGTATGATAGAAGTGTTTTGACTTTCTAAATATATAGTGCAATACTATAAACGTTTAACAAAGCAGTATAAAGAATATTAAATTAAATAAACCTTTCAACGGGTCTGTGCATATTTTAATTTTGTTATTATTTAAAAAGTGATAAAGCTCAGTTTCGCGCAGATTTCCATTCATAGCGATATCG